AAAACAGCTATCTCAAGAAAAGATTACTCCCCTGTCCTCGAGAAGACGCAATCTGTGTATAAGGTTTGCAGTTTCTATTTCTAAATCCCCTGTCTTCTCTTGCTGGCTGCCTCCGAAACGGGGAAACGTACACGACAGAGAACTGAGAACGAAGGATAACTTCACCCAGTTCAACTGCAGAACTTCCAGATTTATGAATACGACCTTTCCTTTCACTGTGAAATTATTGAATGGAATCTAATCATTAGTACCTCGCCTAGTATAGTAAAGTAGAATGGATTTCAATCAATTGGTCTCTTTTACTATAAAGTTATTTTATTATTGTTAACCAGTACGCACCTTGTCTTTTAGCCTATGTTTGTATAATTGATTTTGATGAATTAGCAATAGTACCTTGTCTGTTAGGGTATAGAATTGTGATAGATTTTAAGTATTACATAAGATTTGTATCATGCCCTAATTCAGCCAGATAAGGCTGCAACGGTATGTCTGAGCACGTGTTGCAAATAAACCAGTCATCATCATCATCATCATCATCATCATCAATTCAACATGTCCTCATTAATTATGCAAATGACCCCTACATTAACACAATATTTGTATAGTGGTGTTAACCTTGAAGAAACTTACACATGTCACATCATCATTCACCAATTAGGCGTCACAGAATGTGTACATTAATTATGCAAATTAGGTCATCATTTGCAAAATTTTATTTAATTATGTACAACTCTCTCTCAGCTAACTTCATACCAAAAATGATGAAAATACGTTGTTCCTACTTGGACTTATAGGCTTTAAAATTTTTTACCAGAAACTAACCTGCAGTTCCAGAACAAGCTGCTAGGGGGCTAAACTTACACCACTTGTTCCTGACGAGATAGGCTATCTGTCCCAAGAAACCCAAGACCATAGCATGTTCAGGACAAAAGATACAAGAACCGGAAGTTCTGCTGCAGTACCAAGGTCATACACCAGGAGGCCCATATTTGACCTTGACCTCCGTCTTCCTAAGACTTATCTGCATACCAAATATCATCACAATCCATAAAGGCGTTATAAAGTTATGGTGACTACAAATGTGCGGAAACACAAACACACACACACACACACACACACACACAGACACACACACAGGCGCGCTAAAAACAATATCTCCATGTTTCATGGAGGTTATACCAGGCGTATAAAGTTACATTCATTCAGTGAATCTGTTCCCATTTTCAGACACCCCAGATTCAAACAAGAATTCTGAGACCTCATACCCCCATGAAATATGTAGAGTTTATGCAAATATTTTGTTTCATTGAATATGGAAATAAGGTAGCAATTAACATAATGTAGTTTAATTTATGGTGTTCTAAACTCAACATACAATATTTTTCGTGTCAAACTCCTATCCTTTGGCAATATTTCATTTAAACATCCTCATTTAAACTTCCTCATTAATTATGAAAATTGCCTCTATATAAACATAATATATGCATAGTGCTGTTAACATTTAAGTAACCTAAACATGTCACAAGGTACAGAATTGCCATCATTCACCATTAAGAAATCATAATTTTCGCAATAATTATGCAAATTAGGTTATCATTTGCATAATTGGTACCTGTTAATGTTCTATTTGCCATAGATTATATATATATATATTACAATTACATGTATGAAAGTACTATAATGTAAAACACTGTAATTATAGAATTTCCTCATTAATTATGCAAAGTTCTCATTTGCATCATTTGCATTTAATCGTGTACATCTCTCTCTCTACCTACCTACCTACCTACCTACCAAAAATGATGAAAATATGTTGTTCCTATCTGGACTTATTGGCTTTTAAAGATTTCGCCCGAAAGTGCCCTGCAGTTCCAGAGCAAGCTGGGAGGGTGTTCAAACCCACAGCACTTATTTCTGACAGGAAAAGCTATCCGTCACATAGCATGTTCCGGACAAAAGATACAAAAACCGGAAGTTCTGCTGCAGTACAAAGGTCATCCACCAGGAGGCCCATATTTGACCTTGACCGTCGTCTTCCTAACAAAACGAACTACGCTTGAAGAAACATGTATGAAGGCTCTTATACAACAGTACACTCCAACAGAACCGTCACGGACAGAGGCCGTCACATAAATAGCATGGCAGAGAGAAGTCCCAGAAACAACTGTCTTTAATACGTCTGCTACACTGTTCCATGGCGTGATTACAAGATTGAGAGAGTAGCTGTTTCTTGTGTTTTTGACCCCAAAACAAAACAAAATACTCTTTTTAAGCAAACTAGCCTCGAACATAATTAAATAACCTGTATGGGCTTAGCTTTTATCTTGTAAAATGTACTAATGATAGGTATTGTTGGCGCAGTCGCGTAGGTTCGTGATATAAACGGCTATTTTATCTGAAATGTGTAGTTCTAACTCAAAATCAATCCAGGAGTAGAAAAACTAAAGTAGTAAACATTCAATGTGTTTCGAGTACTACTAAAACTTTCTGAAGTTTCGTCGGGTTGCGACCAAGCTATCAAAAGTTATAGGTGACAGACTATGATTATTATTTTAACCCTAAACAGTACACCTGGGGTCCGCGCGGACCCCAGCACTATATATTCTGTAGTATCTTTTTTGTTTCTAAAGATTTTTTTCTGAAATTTCAGGTAATTGTCACCCACAAAGTTGTCTCTCCATACAGTGCAGAAAACTCCGTTTCTACCATTTATTAAAAAAATTATATCTGATTTTCTTTTGGGGTCCGCGCGGACCCCAGCTGGCTTTCGATCATAATGGATACACTGGCGTTCTTATACATTACCTTATTTCCGTTTTCATATGTTTTTATGCATTCATCTTATGTCTACCAAGTTTTCAGAGAATGGTGTAGTAATAGAATTAAATTTTAATAACTTTGGTGTAATTATGACGTCATATGACGTCAGAGCTAATAATATAGTCCGCCATATAGGATTTTGACCAATGACGTCATCAAATTAGCATATTCTATGCATATTAAATGATTTAACTTATATTTAATTATGTAAGATGTTATTAATGTTGGAAAAGAAGTGTAATTTAATATAAAACTCAGAAAATTTTTATGTTTAAACCAAAATTACTTCTCTGAGTTCAGTTAATGGAAGTCCCTTCCCACAAACACCTCGGCCTACATCTTACCCCTAATCTATCATGGTCATTACATGTTTCAATTATAACTGCTACCGCGATGAAACGGATTAACCTTTTAAAAAGAATAGTATCCTTTGTTCCACGAAAAACTCTTGAAACCTTATATAAAGTAATGATAAGGCCATTACTGGAGTATGCCGACGTTGTTTGGGACGGATTAACTGGTAAAGACTCTGACTTAA